ACCTCTTAGCCACAACCACATTTACCAATTGTAAGCAAGTATATACTAGGTCGTTCAATAAGTAAGGTAAAATGTGCTATAGCTCATTAACCTTAACAAGTTAAACAAAATAAAATATGTCATCTGAATCTACGAAAAATTTGCTACACAACGTATCCACCTGTTTTTAGGAATTGGGAAAATTGTCCGAACACGGTCGGTATGAAAACATTGATGCAGCACCGTTCCGTTTGGGAAATGCCGTTTCGCAGGTGAGCCTCGAGTTCATCTCAAAACCGGCGTCGGCAGCAAATTGTACCCTGATGACGCCATATGGCCATTAACAATGCTTAGTAGTGGTCAGTGGGTAGTGATACGGCAGTGTAAGAGTCAAAATTCTACGGCAGGCAGACCTATGCTTGCAGGACCCTCTGGATCTGGCACAATCCGTGAAGTCACGAGGTGATGATGGAGACCCAAAGCATTCGCGTGACTGACTTCATTTACGGAGTGAAGCGCTATGTCGAATCAGCTACAGGCATCATCAGATACAATAAATATTTTCAAGGTCTGCCTGAGATGGATACCAAGAGTTCACTCAACAACAGAAGGATGCCCGACTAGGCATCAGTGCGGGGGCGGCTTTGCTCTGTCAGTTCAGGAATGCTGGAGTACAGCTCTGATCTGGCGCCGCCCAGCTTCAATCTGTTCGGATCGCCGGAAGACGTTCTGTTTCTGGGAATAACTTTTTTACGGATGAGGCAATCAAGAAAATAAAAAGGCATGGTAAAAAACATCAATGAGGAGTTTTCCGAGCGGGTTTTCAGTGCTTGGTGGAGTGCTGAGATAAGCATGTGCGCCTGAACGGTGATTGGAAGCAGGTGCGAGTTCTGAAGGCTGGGGTGGTTGACCGATGGGACCTGCTACCAAATGCTTATAGCCATTTTGAAGACAAAATTTCAGTTAACATATGTTGCAAGTTTCATATCGTTACACCAAAGGTGGACTGAAATAAATGCGATTTTACCTTACTTATTGAACGACCTAAATGTGCTATGTGTATATATGTTGTGGACGCTGAGTAATGAGTACCTACTTACCAGGAACGTTATCAGGTAAGCAAATCGTTGTCAGTCCGACGAACTTGACCCTGGCGTCTAAAGGGTCTGTCCTTGACACTTCAGGCTTGTCAGGGGCACCAAAGTCCTTCCAGGGACACCACAAACCTGTCAGGGGCACCTACGGCCTTGTAGGGGCGCCACAGGCCCGCCAGGGGCACCACAGGCCTGCCAGGAAGCAGGGGCACCACAGGTCTAGCAACTATACACGACAGGCCTGTCAGGGGCACAACGGGCCTGTTGGGCCCATGAGCACCCCTAGGGGCAGGGGCACCACAGTCCTTCCAGGGGCACCGCAGGCCTGTGAGGGGCACCAGCGGCCTAGCAGGGGCACCAGTCAACACAGGCCTGCCAGGGGCACCACAGACCTGCCAGGGGCACCAGAGGCCTGCCAGGAGCACCACCGACCTCGCAGGGGTAACTTGGGCCTGTCAGGGCCCAGGGGCACCACGGGCCTGTCGAGAGGCACTTCAGGCTTTTCAGGGGCACCATAGTCCTCTCAGGGCGCAGGGGTAGCAGGGGCACCAGAGGCCTGCCAGGGGCACTACAGGCCTAGCAAGGGCACCACTGGTCTATCAGGGGCACCACGAGCCTGTCATAGCCAGGCATCTCAGGCTTGTCAAGGCCCAGGGGCACCACAGGTCTGTGAGGGGCACCAGCGACCTAGCAGGGGCACAGTCAACACAGGTCTGCCAGGGGCGCCACAGACCTGCCAGGGGCACCACAGACCTGCCAGGGGCACCAGAGGCCTGCCAGGGGCACCACCGGCCTCGCAGGGGCACCTTGGGCCTGTCAGGGGCACGACGGGCCTGCCGAGGGGCACTTCAGACTTTTCAGGGGCACCAGTCCTCTCCGGGCGCAGGGGCACCAGAGGCCTGTCAGGGGCACCAGCGGCCTAGCAAGGGCACCAGAGGCCTGACAGGGGCACCAGCGGCCTAGCAAGGGCACCAGAGGCCTGCCAGGGGCACCACAGGCCTAACAAGGGCACCACGGGCCTGTCAGGGGCACCTCAGGCTTGTCAGGGCCCAGGGACACCACAGTCCTTCCAAGGGCACCGCAAGCCTGTCAGGGGCACCAGAGGCCTGCCAGGGGCACCACAGGCCTAGCAAGGGCACCTCTGGCCTGTCAGGGGCACCTCAGGCTTGTCAGGGCCCAGGGGCACCACAGTCCTTCCAGGGGCATTACAAGCCTGTCAGGGGCACCAGAGGCCTAGCAAGGGCACCACAGGCCTGCCATGGACACCACAGGCCTGCCAGGGGCACCACCGGCCTGCCAGGGGCACCACCGGCCTTGCAGGGGCGCCTCAGGCCTGTCAGGGGCACCACGTGCCTGCCGGGGACACTTCAGGCTTGTCAGGGGCGTTACAGTCCTGTCAGGGCCCAGGGGCACCAGGCCCGTGGTGTCCCTGCTAGGCCTGTGGTGCCCCTGGCGGTCCTGTGGTGCCCCTGTCAGGACTGTGATACCCCTGATAGGCCGGTGGTGCCCCTGGAAGGTCTTTGGGCCCCGGGACTCAAGGGGGGGGGGCATGACCCATGTGACCCCCCCCTTGGATCCGCCCCTGGTGCGGCGTTTGCGGCAGATGTTGCGCGCAAATAGCATATACCACCGCGTGCTACAAAACGTTTTAGTCAAACATTTAAAAATCGTTAGATATTTGCGCTGACGTCACACATTCAGAGGGGTATTCCTAAGCATTAGCCCCTCTGAATCAAAATGCTGCAATTTTGAAATTCAATATTTCCGATTTAAGGCATTTCTCGATGTTGTGAGTGCCGAAACCGGTAATTGTGAGCCAGGGACCCCATTTTGGCTATCTCAACTCAAATCTAATGTTAAGGTGGGAGGGTCCCTTTAACCCGCTTCGAGTCAGTGCTTGGGTCCCTTTGCGGGCCGGGAGGTGGTAAAACAGCCCTGTCTAACTCGGCTCCTGGGCCACGCCCTGATTGAACTATGTTTCATTATCGTTTGGGGGAGGGGGAAAACGGGCCACTTTAGGCCTCTGGGAAGGGGCATGGCCCTAAATGCCCCCTCCCTGGATCCGCCAGTGTAAGAAGAGACCATTGGAGCTGCAGTTGGGTACCTCAGACATCAGGGTACGCCCTCAGATGTATGTATAGGACTCGCATGGAGACCTCTTATGCTATAGTGTACTGAAAGGACCCAAAGGAGCCTGTCTATATGGGCTCCCGGAGATAGACGTGGGCCCTGAGGAGCCCGCCAGAGCCCCAATGAGGGATAAGTGAGGGATACCAAGTGCCTGCAATTGCATATTGCATAAGCCATAACGCCTTTACAAATCAATATATTATGCATCAGTGGCAGATCCAAGGGGGGCCACATGGGTCATGACCCCCTTGGTGCCCGGGGGCACCACAGGCCTGTCAGGGGCACCACCGGCCTAGTAGGGGCACCACCAGCCCGCCAGGGGCACCACAGGCCTAGCAAGGGCACCATGGGCCTGTGAGGGGCCCCACAGGCTTGTCAGGGGCACCCCAGGTCTGCCAGGGACACCAGAGACCTGCCAGGGGCGCCGCCGGCCTCGCAGGGGCACCATGGGCCTGTCAGGGACACCAGAGGCCTAGCAGGGGTACCACAGGCCTTACAGGGGCACCACCGGCCTTGCAGGGGCACCTTGGGCCTGTCAGGGGCACCACAGTCCTGTCAGGGCCCAGGGGCACCAGCGGCCTAGCAGGGGCACCACAGGCCTGCCAGGGGCACCACTGGTCTAGCAGGGGCACCATGGGCCTGTCAGGGGCCCCACCGGCCTCGCAGGGGGCACCACCGGCCTCGCAGGCATCACGGCATCACGCAGGGGCACCTTGGGCCTGTCGGGGGCATCACGGGCCTGTTGGGGGCACTTTAGGCTTGTCAGGGGCACCACAGTCTTGTCAGGTCCCAGGGGCAACAGCAGCCTAGCAGGGGCACCCTAGGCCCGCCAGAGGTACAGCCCACCGCTAAAGTAATGTAGGGTTTTACCAAACTCAACGGTTGGCTTTGACTGGCGATTGTTTAATGCGAAGTGATTGAAAAGAAGATGTCAATAGCTAAAGTTGCAGCTGCAAGGGTGACGATACATATAAGCTACATTCAAAGTTTCATTGTAGTCTGGCTAATCGTTCCTAAGCTTCAGAAGCAGAACATACCCATGACTGAAACCCCACATTACTTCTGCTGTGGACTGTACCACAGGCCTGCCAGGGTCCAGGGGCACCACAGGCCTAGCAAGGGCACCACGGGCCTGTCAGGGGCACCTCAGGCTCCCGTGCCCCCCCCCCCCAGATCCGCCAGTGATGCCACACCACGCGAAACACCGCCAACTACCAGCTGCCGCGCCATAAACACGTGCCAACAACAGTCTTTTTTTTTAAGGTCGACTCCGCTCGCGCAACTTTTGACTGACCCTCACTGCTACTATATTGCTTCCATATTATGCTGTGGAAAGCTTTACTTCACCAAGTGGCTAAAAACCTCCATCAAGGTATATTTTCTTAGCAATTTTTCTGGCGTTTTGGTGGGGGGGGGGCCAAACAGGCCACTTTAGGCCTTTGGGGGGGGGGGCATGGCCCTTGTGGCCCCCCCTGGATCCGCCAGTGCTATTGTCTATACGATCACCTGCATGGTTTAGCATGCAGTCTGAAGTACGTGACGTGTTCATTGGGGTAATGCATACCAGATGATGGGGTTCGTTAGACTTTTTTCGCAATGCGCTTGAATTGATAAGCAATCGTTGCCTGTTTGACTCGTTTTTTTATGGGTTCATTGACATATTTCAGTCCGACATTTGCTGAGCAAATTCGCATGTGCTGGGCGTGACAAAGCAAACACTGATAGGTAGGTACCATGCACACGGCATTTATACCTCATTTCATCGTAAATAAATAAAGCAAGTTGACAAAATGCACCATTTTGACGACTATTTATTACTCAACCATATCAAACGTATTTTGTATTGAACATAGGTAGAGCGAGTCCGAATATATGGACAATGGACATACAGAGCGAATCCGAATATAACGCGACATTCAGGTTTTGTGCTTTACTCATGCTTAGCTCACTCATGCTCATGCTTCAGTGCTTTTCTCATGTATCGGGGCCTAAGAAACACAATTCCAATCCGTCAACTAAAAGATGGCTAAATATCATTTTGATGTCATTCCTTTACAAACGAGAGCTAGCCAAAGTAACTAAATCAGCCGCACCGCCATCACTCAGATCCAAATGTTGCGATCGTGTTGTTGAGCGGAGCCCTCATGAATCGGTCGCTGGCCATGTAAGCTTTGATGCGTGGCAGGTCCTCAAACCGCTTCACGTAGCGGACGAGGTTGTCGAACGTCTTCAGAAGGCTGGCTTCAAGAATACGATGACAGTCGAGTAGTTCGTAGAAGAGAAAATCGACCACCGTTGGCTGTGAGAGCAGACAAATACATGGGCATTGGTCAGATTTGTACAGTAGAGAATTGACCATTGACGGCTGTGTAAACAGACAAAGATGCGGTCATATTGGTCCGCTGATAACCACACGTTTTGGTGCTGAACTCGCGGTCAAGTGTCAAACAGAAACGTGGTCAGATGAAAGAGACACTGTTAGCACGCGCACCGACGGGGGGGGGGCGGATATTCGCCCCCCCCCTGAGGTTTTTCGCGAATAGCGGGAAAACCGCGGCGCTACGCGAAATTTGGTACGACTATTCTCTCATCAATTTTACACATGGTGTGCAAGTTTGAACTTCCTAACGTTTAAGGTCAGGTCACCAGGTTACTTTGAATGACCCAGCCTCAAGTCACTTTTTTGCAACTTTGTTACCGTGCCAGAGCTACAGTAGATGGAGGAGGCCTTTGAAAGTCGCAGGAGGTTATTAGGTCATTAGTAGCTACAATTTTTATATCTCGGAATTTTGATATCGGTGACCTAAGGTCAGGTCGATTTCTCGACCTCCCCAAAGTCCCCATTATAAGTCAATGGGGGAAAAATCAACTACCTGTTTTTACCACTAAAACGGATCGGAATGGCACCATATACCATACATGATTTTATATGCGATCAACCTTCACTACCTTGAGGTCTGTTTTGCTGTTGGTCAGCTGTAAGGTCATGTGACGTCATCAAAGGTCACCAGCGGTTTTTTGCCAATAACTCCGTACAGGAACAAGATACAGCCGCGCCGATGGTCTCATTGTGTTCAGCTCGTCAAGACGCATCGAATGATATACATGATGACCTCGAGGTCACATGACCTGAGGTCAACCTTTGACCTTGACCTTTCGAGGTCAACATATATATCATTCGATGCGGATCGACGAGAGGATCACGATGATGCCCTTAGTTTGTTCCTATCTTGACTAATTAGAAAGTTATTCGAGAAAAACTCTCCATATCTAGCGCCGCCCTTTTGACTTTTTTGACCCCTGTGACGTCATCTTTGACCTGACCTGAAAATGACCTGTGTAAAAATTGTAGACCTTGTCCGTGCGTATCCGATGCCGTTTACCGTTTGTCGCTATCTTGCTGTCGGTACTAAGTTGGCGCAGACCCCCGTCGGTGCGCGTGTTAACCCGCGCCCCGTAGGGCTACCGGCGGACCCTACCACCCGTAGGGGGGGGGGGGGGGGGGGGCCGTTTCGGCCCCCCCTAAGATCTCGGAAAGTTACCGGCCGATTTTCAAAATTCAAACGGCGTTCGATAGCCCCACCCGGGAACTACCTTGTGACCAAATTTCATTGACCTGGGTCAAACCGATGACGTCACAGGTCAGGTCAAAGGTCAGATTTTCACCGTTCACAGGCAATTCAAGAAATGTGCTGTGAAAGCGAGTAAATTGGTAATTTATTGAAAACCATCGATGGTACATTGTTCGTCAAACACATACTTTGCTATCTGAGGTCACTGATACCAGGTCAGGTCACAGCGAGGTCAGGTCACCGGGGTCACAATATGAATGTGTCGTGTGATACATGTTTTATGGTCCATTTTACTTGACAAATGCGATTATGTGGGTTAGGCAGCCTTTGGGGCCAGCCTAGGTCACGTTTTTGTGAAGGTCAGGTCAAGGTCAGGTCAAATTAGGTCAAATTTCAAAGTTGATATTTTTGCATAAAATGGGTATCGATTCGATGCAGCTCGTCACGGGGAGTCTAATGGTGGTCTTCGTTTTGCTCTACGAGTTCTAGAATTGCCAAAAATTGAGTTTGAAAATTTGACGTCATCATTTTTGAACAGTTTTTTCGCTATAACTTGGCCAAAAAACGAGGTATCGATCTGAAATTTGGTATGTAGATAGAAGACGGTAGGCACTATCACATATATTCCGTTTTTTTCGAAACTCAAAAAACTTTTTGGAATTTTTGGCGAATATATCCGAAAAAATGCTTTTTTGATTTTTGGGGGTCAAAACTCAAAAATTTCAAAAATTCGAGATGGCAGTTTTGTAGCCCTGTCAATTCTACACCTTTTATGTCTTGATCATTTTTCTGTATCTTCAAAGCTGTAGTCCTGACAGGTCTTCTCGCGAAGGTCTTTTCTCGGTCGAAAATGACAGAACATGACGTCACTCTGACGTCATTTGTGGCCAACCTATCATAGCCTCTGGAAAAATTTTTGGTCACAATGTGTAAAATTGATGCCCGGAGGGGTCCTAAAAGTTTGGTGGCGATATCTCCAGCCGTTTAGGAGATATCGACCGAAAAGGACAGGGGAAGGCCGTTTCGGCCCCCCCCCCTACGGGGCGCGGGTTAACCCGCGAGTTACTGGGGGGGGGGGGGCGTTAAACGCCCACACTTTTTTCGCGGGGCCATAGCATTAAAACGGCGCGCCGCAGGTGCGCCAAATTTTGGGTACCTGTAAAGAATTGATTGAAGTTTATTGTGACGAAGTTTCAAAAAAATCGGTCGGAAAATTTTTGAGATATCGAGGTGTTAGTGACGTCATGATTTCTGAGTTTTCGACAAAAAACGGCATATGTTCAAAAAATCATATAAAATCACAGAATAGACATACAGACATGCCGTAAACGCCATTAGACTGCCAATACCATGAACAATCAAATGACTATCGTCGATTATTGATTATCGTTACGCATTTTCCAAAATCGTGAACTGAATCTTGGCAATTTCTCGTGACTTCTTCAGGACCATGATACATGCATTTCTTAAATTGAACTTTTTTAGCCAAACACGTACACATATGATAAAATGAATGTCACCATCGTGTTCTACGTCCCAAATTACCCATAAAACATGTGTCACAGGCTGCGAATATCAGTTTTGATTTTCGGGGATATTTGCCTGCCCGGTTGACCTGACCTTGACCCTGACCTATGCTTGACTGACCCCTCATGGAGCTGACACTCTTGTAGGCCTTATATGATGGATTGTGCACCGTTTTGACAGAGTTTATGACGAGAGGCGCCCATTGCGAAGTCCTGAAGTCCATGCTACTGAAAGCCCGATTTCAGGTGTTTGACCTGACCATGACCCGACCTGTGACCTCAAAATTCAACTTTGAAGTACTCATCTGAAACGTCTGGTCGCGTTCTTTCGTTTGCCGCCTCGTGCGTTTCGCTGCGTTTATCGGTTCTCGAGTTATCGGCTGGGGGCGTTTAACGCCCCCCCCCCCCAGCAAACGGTGGGTGGCGAAATACCCCAGCAGCTGCCGGGTTAAAGCATGTTCAGCACAAAGCTCTTGGCCAGGTTTACCTACGCCTACTGCGAGTTTTAGAGTTTAGACCAACAACAGAAAATGACTTAAATTTTCGGTAAATGAATGAAAAAGTTAAGGAGTAAAAATAGGATGAATAAAAGTTCCGATAGGCGTTATCACAAGTGTATTCGCGGCCATTGGGGCGATGTAAGAAAAGAAGAAAACAGCTGGCCCCAAGAACTTTAAATTATCAAATAGCATGCTCCTTTTCCTTGATATGTAGAGAATTTACCATTAATTGTTAGAGAAAATTGCATTTAAAATCTTCCATTTATGCTTTTTTCATCGTTTGCACAGGATGTTCTTTTACTAAGCTAGAGAAACACTAATTAGAAATAGTTCCCGCATCATCAAGAACAATAGGGAAGGCTTGAAGTGAATACAATAATCTAAACGGTTTTGTAATCCATGTGAAGACACTTCTAAAATTGCCTGTAGAAATATTAAAGGCAAAAGTACAACTTTTTCACAAGACGGATGGCTATAAACCTCAGAGGTGCACAAATAGCCCAGCCTGTCTCCTACACGGTCTCCGATGGCTCCGGTTTGTCTCACCGATCATCCTTAGGTATATCCCAACATATCTATACTTTCAAGTAAAGCTGGTTATTTACATTACAGTTATTAATATTTACAGGACGTAAACGCTATTCCTGAAGTGTTTTTATTTCTGAAGCTATCCGCAGATATATCGTCATTTTTTTAAGAAGCCGACAGACATACGGTATGCGCTGCTTTGGACAAAGTGCGAGGCAGGACTTGGTACACCTCCACCTGAAATGCATACTGGTGGTGTATAAATAGACTAGAGTGAGGCGGTCTGGTTGTTGACTGTGTCTGGAAACACTGGAAAGTCAAGAACTACCCTCATAAAACCACCGGGACGCTCAATTAATTCCTCTCATCCAATGAGGGTTCAGTTCCACATGGACCAGACGGGCGTCGCCGTCCATCTGCCGTCCCATAGCGTCCCTCTCCCGTTTAGTGGGGCAGTTACTACTTGGCGGGCTGAAGGTGAAGTGACGTAACACTGCAGTGTACGGTGCACATCAGTGTTTCTGTTTAGGAATATGAAACTTTAAGGAGTGTGTAACAAGTTTTTTCCTGGATCAACATTACTTCATTTAGGTAAGAAAACATTATTTGAGGACGATTTTGCAATATTTGCTAATGGGACGAAGCCCATTAAATTGCTATGGAACCTATCATATTGAGGACCACAAACGTTCAGAAAACGTTTTGACTGTAGGCTTTAAGAAGAGGCTTTAAATCCTTTTATAATCCATCGCTGACTACATCTATACTGCAATCTATACACATTTCACGTGCATCGCTAATCTCTTCGCTAATACAGATCCTGGTCTATTTTTTCTTGCTTAGCAAACCTCAGCTGTCTTGTAAAATTTTCATGACGCATTCATACATTACAGTTTAGAGGCAGATAAATCCGATATTCCTGTTTTCTGCGTGGCTCTGTGAGGTCGGTCCCTGCCATGGATGGTGTGAGACCATCCATGCTGCCGATCGTTCAACGCGCTAGTTTTATTGGGGGTTATATGACCGAAGGACATCGACGACCGACGGAACTGCCTCGCCTGGCGGGGTCACCAATGTGGAACACGCTGCCGGTTTTTCCGAAGTAAAACTGGAGATTTGCTATACAAAGTTAGACTAAGTGAATTAATGTACTTAACCATATGAAAGCAAATGTTTGACAGAAAGTAAGCGGCCATTTTGTCGCTGCTGGAGACAACTGCCGGAAAACTAACTGCATTCCCGCAACATCCAATTACTCATCGATACGTATCAAATGAAGCAGGGCAGATTACCATATTATTTTTCTTAGGATATCGGAATATAGTAACATGTTAAGATACCAAAAAGGTGCAATATCCTTGTTTATAACACAGCCTTTGTTCCGAGTCTGTGCCTTTGGATGGATCTCATGTGCTTAAAATCTTAAGAAAAATGCACTAAGTATCCATTTGAATTATTACTTATGCCAACATGAATGGTAGAAGAATAATCAATTGTAATTTGTTGTCAAGTCTAGATGTGTTTTCTCCACTGTCAATGACTGATTTCTTTTTGCTGAGTAATGTTTTGCAACCTATTAATTTATATGCCAGTGGTGGCTCAAATATTGCTGTTATAGCTATGCAATGTGTAATCTTATATTGTTTAAATAAAGTTAGGCAAATTCAACTGAAATCATGACTGTAATATTTGAAATATGTCATCTGATTGACCTTCATCATACCAACATATAGCCTGGGCAAGGATTATGTCAAAAATGGCAAGGCAAGAGGAAAATAGAACAAGTCAGATTGTATTGCCACTCCTTTAGTCAGAGAATGAGGACAAGTTATAAGCAAAAAGCACAGATCACCTTGAAATCTTGAAATCAATGTCAAAGCCTACCTACCTGACAACTTGTATGGTCTCCCTCTTTTTAAAGTAATGCAATGCATTAGGTAGGTACATTGCTAGGTGTGAAATTTATGGAGAACTTCACAAACCCCATTACAAATCAGTTTTATAAGCATATGCTTCAAATTGCTATGCTTCCCACACTAACTGAAAGGTTTTTAAGCAAACTCATGAGCAAACTCCATGCCAGCATATCTTGTTATTGAGTAAACATATTGACTGCTTAACTGACCATTCCTTTTTCTATAATCATATTAATTACAATTCTACACAGACCTGTAGACAATTCACGACACATTTTCCACCCACAAAATTATTATATACACAACTGAACACAAAGCTTATGTTTAAAATAATCACATATCTGTTGCATTTTTGATGTATAGGTACCTGTCTATAAAACATGAATAATTTGATGTTGTGAGCCTTGTGCCCAGATGAATGTTTGTGGTATTGGTGTTACAACAAGGAAATTGAAAATTTGTCATGCAGTTTAGGGAAGTTATACCTAGGTAATGTTCAAAATTAAGTGAGATGCCTTCAATTACTAAATCTCAAGTACATTGAAAAGCCATATATTCTTTTGAAGGAAATTATTAGGTACCTATTTACATTAGAGCTAGGTAGGTAGTTACCTGCATGTTAGCATCTTTCAATGTTGTTCTTTATCAATCAAAATGAATGGAAAATTTAAAAAAAATAAGTAGAAGTGATCAGATAGGATAGGTAAAGCAATTTCACAATTCATATGACTTTCAGTTTCAGTTCTCATCAAGCCAATTAGGTTGGGTACCTGCCTATTTACCAGCACCTCCATAATCGCTCCCCAAAATGCCCCCTGCCACGAACCTCTTATGAAGAGTTTATAGAAGTGCAGGCTGCAGATTTCCGGCCCATGCAGAGTTTTCATTTCTTTGGCAATTCCTTAACTCCACTTGGAGCTCATAACCTTCTATTACCACACCATCACATCACAAAATATAATGTGAAAGTCCTTATACACTTTGCTTACACTGCGCAAGACACATCCACAGCACAGTACAGCAACTGAAGCGAGCTGTTCACTGTTACAATTATCTTTCAAATTCAACTGACACCGATAGCTGGTTACCACGCAACGCGCTAGCAAATGGCGTCAGCTTGTCCCACGAATGGCGGTTGCTATGGAAACCAGCTGACGAAACTTTACCAGAACCCATTTTCGAACAGGAGTTTTGTTAAGGCGCCCCAAGAATTTGTGCGCCGTTTTTCGAAACATGCCCACCACTTTCGCAGTTTTTCATCCTACATTTTACCTACACGGTGTCTCATGAGACACAATGTTAATCCAATGGGAACTGTCTCGTGGGTGTCTCATGGAGGAGATTTGTAGGAACTGTTTTTGAAGACACGTAAAGAAATGTAATGACCAAATGCCGTTGACAGCTGATTGTACCGACCAATTGCTACCAGTTAGCTGTTCTTATAGTCATTTTTGTTCAGAAAACACAAAACTGAAATCTGTCTCGCGGTTTCCCTCTTCGGCTCTTTCCTGTCTCCTACATTGTAGGCAAGTAGGAAGGTTTGTGCACCTCTGCGGAGCATGGCCTGATGAAGCGTTAAGTTTTCAATACCGAATAGAGTACTATCAATTGATCTACTGATACTATCAACTGATAAACCTATTCAACGCGTGACAACTCAGCCGGTATATCGTCGCCTACAGCCCAGCTTTCCCTAGTGACCGATAGAGGCGCTGCTATCGATGTCCGCCCGTGCCGCCTAACGCGATGGTAGTATTGAAGATCAACATGCCATAGATAGATACATAGATACAACATACATAGATAAGCTCTTATTTTATCAATATTTGCAACAAAAACGTCCCAAGCAAGCCCAGTTTTGTGACTTTGAAAATACAGTTTAATTGAAATTTTACTTCAAAATAATTTCATCAGAGATCGTGTATTTACCTTTTCTCCCACCAACCAGTCCTTTTCGCCAAGAAATTTGGAAAATCTTCCGATGGTGACCAGGGCTGTCTTGATGTATTCGGGCCTGAGCTTCTCCTGTGACGAAAAAAAACATACAAAAGTTACAAGTTATTCGTCGATGAATTTCTGCTAACGGTTCACAGACACTAACAAACCGTTGGATCAACATTGGTTGAGTGGCCAAATATAATTGAGCAATTTTGACCTAAATTGAAGCATTTGAAGGAAACATTCGTAGAAAATCGGGTCGGCAGTGATGCCTAAATAGCATAAAGCAGTATTAAAACAAACCAGTAATATTTCCAAAGATATGCTGATCTCAGCCTCCAAAAGGCTTCCAACAGGGTATCTGTTTATTGTTTACCATCTATTGGCACCTCGAAAATACGGGTCGAATGTAATCACCTATTCTCAGTCTCACATGTTACACAAAGCATATTACACCATTGATTATACACAACCATGGTGTTAAATTGACCTCTACATCTAACATCACAGACTCACAAAGTCTGCTGTAGCCAGGCCTGGCAAGCCTCTCAACCTTTTCAGAGGTGCAAAAACCTGCCAACTCGCCAACCAGAGTGTGACAGATGACGTCACAAAAACTCACAAAGTCGCTGCTGATGACGTCACACATACAAAACCTGTGCTAATGACGTAACTCTGACTCACAAAGTCTGCGCTGTAGCAGAGCCTGGAGAAGCCGTTGCGGAAGTCCATCAGCTGGTTATCCAGCAGATCCAGCCTCATGTGATCCTCCTCAGTTTTGCCCACCATGTCATGTCTTCGGCCGATGTAACGTAAGATGGCGTTGGTTTGAGTGAGCCGGTTGCCGTCGTGTATTAGGTATGGGAGCTGGTGGAGAGAGGGGAGAGAGAGAGAGAGAGAGAGAGAGAGAGAGAGAGAGAGAGAGAGGGAGAGAGAGAGAGGAGTTACACAGCCAATTTTATCTCAATTTGATGGTGCTGCGCTCGATAGAGAGGTCTGATTACGAGCGAGCGAGCGCAGCGAGCGAGCGAGTTTTTACTGAAAATCCTGAGTATGAGCGGCCGGCCGGCCGGCCGTGGGGACGCTCTTCAAAAGCTAATATCTTAGGAACGGGACATCCGATTGACAAGCGGTCTTCTTTACTGAATGTCACTTGGACGTAAAAGTTCTGTGGTGTGATGGCCACCATGCGTTCTTGCCAACCACCGCACGTGGCGCGTGGTTAAAGTTGGACATTTTTTAAGAACCCCCAAAATTGCAACCTCAATAACGGCACAACGATTGGGCCGATTGAAATTTGAATTGAAACTCGGTACACACTCCATCAGATAATTCATCTGCATGTGTTAACCCGCGCCCGGCTGGGGTCCTGGATTTCCACGCTCTGCTGGGGGGGGGGGGGGGTTGAACACCCCCCTTGTAACTCGGCTCCTGGGCCACGTAGCGATACGCGGAAGGCGGCGTTCGAAAGAGCGTAAAAAATAATGAGGAAATCACTTCGGTCAATTTTTGGTCAGGTCAAAGGTGAGGTCACCAGAGGTCATTGAAGGCAAAATTTCGCCGATTTCCAGGTCGAATGTCGAAAATTTCCAAGAAGCCAACGAATAACTCGGGAACCAATAGAGCTACAGCGCCGCGAAAAAGTGCATTGTATAGCACTATTAACGCCCTTTCTGAGTAATTCTCTCAGATTTGACCTAACGTCAACGGTTTTGCCTGCAGGGGGCAAAGACTGCAAAAATAGCCGATTTTTTCGGAAACAGTTTTTCTGCAATAACTTTTGACCCAAGCCTTGTACGAGCTTACTTTTACCGGCATCGTGTTCCTCTCGTCAAGACGCATCGACTGAACTATAACTTGACCTTGAAAGGTCAATTTGAAAATTTGACCTCAGGTCAAGGTCATGACCTGACCGGAAAGGGTCATGCTGCATATCAGTCGATCCGTATCGTCGAGCTGAACACATATAAGGCGTTTTCATCGCTCTAACATGCCTCTATCAAAAGTTATTTGCGAAAAACTGTTAGATACCATTCGTGACCTAAGATGACCTCAGGGCACAAACAAGGGTCACGGACACCATTTTCATGTTCAGTGTGTCTAAACCACTTGTAATTCGGTGTTTGGGAGTGTTTATAATGTCTGTCGTCCAAAAGAGGTGCATTTCAATTTTCTCCCATTGACTTATAATGGGGAGGTCGCAAAATTGACCTGACCTTAGGTCATCGATATCAAAATTCTGAGATTAACATTTTGTACATGCTATTGCTCTTAGCAATCGCTGAAAGTTTCAAAGCGATCGGTCACTCGGTGTAGCCATGACAGACATTGAAACTTTTTATGAGGTGAGGTCACTTCAACTGACCTGGTGACCTGACCTTGAATGACCCTGGTCTGAAATTTTCACAACATGTGTAGAATTGATGTATGATAAGGTGTACCAAAAACGGCGGCGCTTCGCGCCGCCGTTTTTGAGATATTCGCGAAAAACCACAAGGGGGGGTGTTCAAACACCCCCCCAGCAGGGCGCGGGTTAAGGTTGGGGTGCTTCTGCACGTGCGCACGTGCAGGGGGCGCTCCCAGATCTCGAGAACGGCTGGGCCGATTGCGCTCAAATTTGGTACACGGTTGGGGACCAGTTAGTAGGGTGCCGTGCAAAAGTCAGTTTGGACCCCGCTTGCACGTGCGCACGTGCAGAATGCCGCTTCCAGATCTCAGGAACGGCTGGGCCGATTGCGTTCAAATTTGGCACACCGCTAGCGACCTGTTAGAAGGGTGTTTTGCACAAGCCCGTTGGAAGTACCCTCTCGCCCTTGCGCACGTGCAGGGCTCACCATCTCGCTCGCTCGTTCTTCGCCCAAAAGGCGTTTTACTGGTTATATTTGTTTCATGACGTAAGTACAAACGAATATAGAAGAATATATGTAGAAACGAATATAATATCCCGACGATTTCTACCTATCGCTCTCTCGACGTGGTGGTGAACATGTAATTAATGAAACATTTGAACACTAGCGTAGTTGTCTCTTCCCGCAACGAAATATTAGGGGAGAGTGGTGCAGGAGGCCCCCCTTAACCCGGCAGTTGCTGGGGTATTTCGCCACCCACCGTTTGCTGGGGGGGGGGGGGGGCGTTAAACGCCCCCAGCCGATAACTCGAGAACCAATAGGCGCAGCGAAACGCACGAGGCGGCAAACGAAAGAACGCGACGAGACGCTTCAGATGAGTACTTTAAAGTTGAATTTTGAGGTCACAGGTCAGGTCAAGGTCAGGTCAAACACCTGAAATCGGGCTTTCAGTAGCATGGACTTCAGGACTTCGCAATGGGCGCCTCTTGTCATAAACTCTGTCAAAACGGTGCACAATCCATCATATAAGGCCTACAAGAGTGTCAGCTCCATGCAGGGGTCAGTCAAGCATAGGTCAGGGTCAAGGTCAGGTCAACCGGGCAGGCACATATCCCCGAAAATAAAAACTGATATTCGCAGCCTGTGACACATGTTTTATGGGTAATTTGGGGCGTAGAACACGATGGTGACATTCATTTTATCATATGTGTACGTGTTTGTCTAAAAAAGTTCAATTTAAGAAATTCATGTATCATGGTCGTGAAGTAGTCACGAGAAATTGTCACGATTCAGTTCAAGATTTTGGAAAATGCGGAACGATAATCAATAATCAAAGATAGCCATTTGATTCTCCATGGTATTGGCAGTCTAATGGCGTTTACGGCATGTCTATATGTCTATTCGGTGATTTTATATGAGTTTTTGAACATATGCCGTTTTTGGTCGAAAACTCAGAAATCATGACGTCACTAAAACCTCGATATCTCAAAAATTTTCCGACCGATTTTTTTGAAACTTTGTCACAATAAACTTCAGTCAATTCCCTACAGGTACCCAAAATTTGGCGCGCCGCACTATGGCCCGGCGAAAAAAGTGGGGGCGTTTAACGCCCCCCCCCCCCAGCAACTCGCGGGTTAAGCTCAGTTGCTATTCTTAGACAACTGATAATATTTAAGAGCTAACGTGTGCATGCGCTGTGAGCATGCATCATTTTCCCATACATACAGGGTGATTTTTTTTTAACTGTTAAAAAGTAAACGTCAATGGTGGTCCCTAAATCGAAAAATCGCGTGCAAAAAAGCAATGCACGTGATAGATAAATCTGGGACATTTTGCATGATGTCATGATTTGTCCATTTTAAAGGAAAAGGGCCACCTTTAACATGGGGATTGAAACTAAGATAGCCATCTTGTAGTCCGTGTCCGAAAACCTATCTGTCTACCTCCTTACGGCCGATTTCGGCCTCCATTCGTAGTTATCGGCAATTTTAAAAGAAAATACGCCAGGAATGCGTCCTTATCCCAGGAATGCGTTCTTATCCGACAATACAGCCACCCGCGGCGAGGCTTTGGTTTTTTACCAATCAGCTCCAACCAGCTCAGCTTTAACCAATCAGCTTATCTGACACAATCCGACGAGTCTGTCTTCTGAACGCTGATTGGCTTGAGTGTGACGTCATCGCTATGCCATCATACAGTAGGTGCTGTAGAGAGTATCAACATAGTACCAATATGTTAAATAGTTTTAAATACTTTTTCGCGAATTGTGCACTTTTGGCACCAGTTTTAAAAAGAAAATGAAAAATAATAATGTCAAAATGAAAAACAACGATATCTTCATATTTCACGAAGGTGGTCCTTTTCCTTTAAAGGGACTATCCCACCTTTAACATGGGATTTGAGTTGAGATAGCCAAGTTTGCGGCGAGGTTCAGAAACCACTATCTATCTAGGTTGCAACCCCCGCGGCCTCTTGGTGTTGAAGAAATTCGTTCCCTTCATTTGAAAATGGGCCTTGTACAAGGCCCTATCTTCAACATGGAGCGACCGTTAGTGTGACGTCACCTCGTTTAGTCGTTCTGATTTAAATGGGTTTGTTCGTTGAAAAATCGCTTAAAACTTGGTCTGAACTTTGTTGTGGTGCCTACAGAGTAAAAAGAATCAGCTTTATGACAGTAATGTGGCCTGGGGAAGGAGGTAATTTTGGGCTGTGACGTCACATATTTGAAAGTTTGTGTTTGGAATATGGGAAGCCTAAGATGTTTAATGAAAAATAAATGCCAGAACCGTGTTCCTGGTCATCCAATCTATAAAGTCGGGCACAATTTAACTGGTTTTAACAACATTTTAGAAGGTGGGATAGTCCCTTTAACCGACGGCCTCGGCCCCAATGGAGCCTGAAAATGTCCCACCAATTGGGCACGCATGGTCCACCGCCGTTCAGTAAAGAACGACACAAAACGATGATTTTGAAGCATTGAGGCAGTTCGAAGCATTACGATCATCAAGGAGATACCTCAGAAAGACGTTAACTAATGCACGAACAAGCTTGTAGTCATAAATAACCTTCAAAAGGTCTATCTGGCATATGTGCAGCCTCTGAAGAATCAGTCTTCAGGGAGAAAGAAAAACTGCGAATCAGACACCACCAGGGCCGCCAGTATAAAAATCCTCGACCTGCCCTCCCTAGACTTCTAGTTTTTGGACCCAGCTATGGCAGATATAACAAGAAAACATTGGAAATATCTGGCAGAGCTGAAAATAGGCGATAGGAGCCTTTTCAGTCCACCTAATGAGTATGGGAGTCCATGGTGCTGTTCAACACGTGCTCAGGCGGGCTGATTCGTGTCGGTGAGAGAGGGGGTAACTTCAAGCACAATTAAAATACACAATGGACGTTCCTTCACATCGTGTCTGCATGAAATCAAAATGTTCCAGAATGCTCGTCATCCTGGTATATAATTGTGCAATATATATTTGCATTTTAACGCAACTAGACCTCATTACTTTTTAACAAGTAAAAAAAATCACCCTGTATTTGCATTCAAAATGAATCTAGGGGGTACACAAACCGTAAACTTTAACATTTTGGAAAAAGTTGCAAAAGGGCCTCTTACACTATGGGTATGGTAAGACCCCCCCCCTCGGGCGTTTTACAAGTCAAGTCGACTTGTAAAAGACGCTTTGCGAACACAGCTGCAAGGCCTTTTATTTCGAAAAGCCAAGCAAATACGGTGTTATCGAAACCAATAACACTTCCAAAGCGCTCGAACAATGCGAAAACTAGCACAACCAAACGCTGATGACCAACGAAAATTGTACCTATTACCTCTAAGAAAGGGAACAGAAAAAAACAAAAAAAAAAAACTCCTTGAAAAAAGAATGCCACGTCCGCCGCAGGTGCAGGCGTTTTAGCATCGGGGGCGTTTTTTATCGGGGGGCGTTTTATCATCCTCGAAGGGAGGGCCTCTTAAAAAAATGCAGTGTTTTAACGTCACAATATTTATGGTTTATGAGACATTTGCAGCGCACCAGAACATGGTCTATTCTGAAGCTAACATGTGACGATTTCGATGAGATAAGATTGCATTTGATAGCCATTGTTTTTTCAGATATATAAGGGTGATAAAGATGCATATATCTAGCAAGTAAAGGGGCAAAAACAGAAACAGGCTTACCAAAAGTCGCTGCGACGCACCTGATACCTCAGGTTTCGTGAGTTGTTGTTTCAAGAGGGCTTCTGCTTTACAAGAACATTAAGAAATAAATAACATTATTGGTTTGGTAAAAAAAGCGATGGGGCCTCTTACCGACCCTGGGCGTCTTACACGGATCTCCCCTACCTAGCGGCTCCACGACTGGCTCATGGCTGTGCACACGGTTTCCCTCTTTAGACATTTCCTTCCCAGATGTGCGCGGAAAGCCAATTCTCTTGGGCGTCCATATTATCCCTGAATTTAAGCCAGCCTGACTTGCCAAAGTCAGGTGCTGATCCGCATTCGAACAGTCTGTCTTAAAAGTACCGCGCAAAGTAACGATGGATCCATCAAGCCTGACCGAAGAAGGGTCTGCTATAATTTGAAAGTCACCGAACCAATTGACCTGGGGAATGGATGAGAATGTCCATTGCTTCGGTGACTCGAATTTAGCAAGCCCCTCCTCGGTCAGGCTTGATGGATCCACCGTTACTTTGCGCGGTACTTTTAACTTTTAAGACTGACTGTACTGTGAACTTTTCAAGGAAATACCTACATTGTGCAAGTCCGCTAAAGGAGACATAAGGAAAGGGATCTAGCATAGACCACTATACCGGGTGGCCCAAAAAAACGTTCCGAACTTTGGAGGCCTATATCTCAAATTCGAGTGCAAATAACGAGCCAAAATTTTCATCAAGTTTGCGTCACTTCTTTGCGCATTGGTATGTCAAATTATAACACTGTACCATCATTTTCAAGCCAGCAATCTTATGTTGAATCAAGTAAGACGTTTTTGTTTTTTTTTGCCGTTGTTGAACGGAAGTAATGATTGGCTTAAACGTACCATGTTAGAAAAAATACAAAAAAAAAATAGAACGGCTTGAATGATACCAGCACGTGTGTTGCTATTTCATATATTTTTTTTTGTCACACCTATGTGCCAAATATTCAAATACTAAGCCAAAGTTGTGTTAATGGATGCCATTCGTTTCAACACAAGTCCTGTTTCGAGGCGAAGGAGTGGCACGGTGCATGGATTACTGCTGATCGCCCTCCCTTCAAGACGATCAAATAGTAAATCGACCGAATAAGGAAAAAAGCTAGAGGGAATGTGTCACCCTGAGGCCTGAACCACCAATGAGACTAGTTGCCAGTAGCAGTCATGGCTGTAGGCCGTGGTGCCGAGATGGAAGTGGCCCGTTCACTCACATTTTTGGTAAACAACAGAGCAAAAAAGTCATTTTTTACATGGCATGCTAGAAACACGAACCGTTTAAAAAGTAATTGACCGAATAACATCAAAATCATACCATTCACTGAAAATGTATGCCGCATTGACTATTGGAAGTTTCAATGTTGTACCTATCTTTATCACTTTCTGAGAAATATTGATTGAAAGTTGGGAACGTTTTTTCTGGGCCACCCGGTATACCCGTCTTCGTCTTCGTTACGGTATAAAGTGGTCTATGGATCTAGTCACCTAAGGGAGACCTAAGGCGCTAAGGGAAGTTCCTAAAAATACTCACATTGGGGAAGTCGAGGCCCATGCTCTCCTTGACTTGGAGCCAGCCCGATTTGTCGTAGTCGGGTGCCGGTCCACACTGGTAAAAGGTCTCCGAGTAGCGCTCCGCCGTGTACTCCAGCAGGAGACGAATCGATTGGGCTCGCTGAGAAAATTAGAGGTCTTTGAAATAATACAATCGACATGACAACAAGACACGAATCGACTGAGCTTGGTGAGAAAGTTAGGAGTTTTTGAAATAATGCAATCGATATGACAACAAGACACGAATCGACTGAGCTTGCTGAGAAAATTAGATGTCTTTGAAATAATGCAATCGACATGACAAGACACGAATCGACTGAGCTCGCTGAGAAAATTAGAAGTCTTTGATATAATGCAATCGACATACATGCCTAGACGACTTGACTGGGACGGCTGAGAAAATGAGACATAAGCGAATAAAAACGACATAGTAAGAGATCATTAACTGGGTACGCTGAAAAAAAAATGAGCCGCTAAGATACGAGATCGGGATTGGTTTGGGATATGCCGGCAAGCCCATCAGAGCTTTAAACACTATACACTATACAGACACGACTTACCCCGCGAATTTTCCAGTAGCCGAGCTCCATCCTCTGTTTCTTGTTTCGAAATCAAATGACAATTCACGATGAATTATGAACTGATGCGATTATTAGCCGTAATTTGTAATAGGATCGGCAGTGTGGTTACGAAAATCACTAGATGATCCAATGATCGATTCGAAATGATCGAAATGATCACTGGATTCACTGGTTATCGCAATGATCGCTGAATGAGTCGGTCACTGCGTCAGTCGATAATAATAGATCACTGATCACTTAGGCTGAATGTAGAGCATCTAGCGACGAGCCTGAGCTAAGACTGCCTTGAGCTGTGAGCTCAGACTGTCGTGAGCACGAGACTCAGACTGCCGTGAGCTGTGAGCTCAAGCTGTCGTGAGCACTAGACTCAGACTGGCGCGAGCACGAGACTCAGACTGCCGCGAGCACTTAACTAGGACTGTCCTGCCGTTCAACTAGGACTGTCCTGAGCTCCAAACTTATCGGAGAGTACGGTACAGTGTGTTTGTAACTGATAGGTCAGAGCTTATAAGTGTTTGAAGTGGCTGATAAAGAATCGTCACGATATCAGCTCTCAAAAAGCTGGATCCACCCTAAGATTAACATCGCATACGGCATGACTGTGATGATGGCGACGTCGCCACCTCTAAAGAGACATCATTTGACATTTTGATAGGTACTCCTGTTCAGGGCTGGTAGGATAGGAGTCGAAGGTCGGATTGTAACTATACAAAAAATATTTTTGCACAGCTCTATTCCTTGAATAAATCTCTTCAACGCCTTATTCCTAGTTAAGCGAATTAGTCCACCCCGGTTGGATAAATAAGGCGATTTCGCCAAAAGGTCGCGGAAAACCGACCGAAAACGGCCGCGCTCAACGCTAATTTGGGCATGTAGACTCTTAAAGGAAACAGTTCACTTTCCTGAAATTAGTATTTTGCTATTGATTTATGATTTTTAATGCTCAAAATGATCATGAAATAAAATAAAACCTTTTTGTAAAATCAATTATTTTCTATATTTTAATATAGGACGAACTATATTCTATGTAAAATAATGTTTGACGCGGAAGCTTATTACGCGTTGACCAATCATATCGCGTAGTTCAAACCTACGCATACTGCATTGGCTGTAAGCAGCATGCTGATTGGCTGACGATGACGTGGCTGCATTCCTGTGCAAGGCACACGTTCCTCTGCAAGGCACTCTTTTCGGAACGATAAATGGAATATCTTCGTCTAGGGTGATCATTGAGCCGTAAAAGCTCCTGATTTGTGCTAGTCTCAGCTCAAGCTACGAAACTGCTATTCCGGTTCAAAACCCCATGTTAAAAGTGAACTATTTCCTTTAACCCGCGCCGGGTGCTCTGAAATTCCGCGCCGGGCCGCGGGGGTGTTTGAACACCCCCCCCCCCTTCTAACTCGGCTCCTGGGCCACGTAGCGACACGCGTTAAGCGGCAATCGAAAGAACGTCAAAAATAAGGACGAAAACAATTCGGTCATTTTTTGAGTCAGGTCAAAGGTCAGGTCACCAGAGGTCACCAAAGGTAAAATGTTGACTATTTCAACATTTTGGAAACTGCCAACGGCTATCTCGGGAACCGATAGAGCTACAGCGCCGCAAAAAAGCGCATTCGATAGGCCTTTTTACAGACCTTTCTGAGTAATGTTCTCAGATTTGACCTCAGGTGAACGGTTTAGCCTCCAGAGGGCAAAAACTCCAAAAATAGCCGTTTTTGCGAAAAACGTTTTTTCGGCAATAACTTTTGACTCAAAAGAGCTATGACATTACTTTTGCCAGCATCGTGTTCCTCTCGTCGAGACGCGTCGAATGAACTATAATTTGACCTTGAAAGGTCAACTTGAAAATTTTTTACCTCAGGTCAAGGTCATGACCTGACCGGAAAAGTTCATGTTGCTTATCAGTCGATCCGCAACGTCGAGCCGAACACATCTAAGGCATTTTCAGCGCTCTAGCACGCCTCTATCAGAAGTTGTCATCGAAAAACTGTTAGACTCTGTTCGTGACCTGAGATGACCTCGGGGACATAACGAGGGGTCACAGTTGCCATTTTCTGGTTCAGTGTGTCTATTTTACCTACATCTCGATGTTTGAGAGTGTCTAGAATAGCGTTCGTGCAAAACAGACGCTTTTCAATTTTCTCCCATTGACTTATAATGTTTGGCCGCAAAATTGACCTGACCTTAGGTCACCGATATCAAAATTCCGAGATAAACATTTTATAGATAGTGTTGCTCTAATCAATCGCTGAAAGTTTCAAGGCAATCGTTCAGTCGGTGTAGCTGTGACGAGCATTCTTATTTTTTCTGAGGTGAGGTCACTTGGCGTGACCTGGTGACCTGACCTAAGGTGACCTGGGTCTGAAATTTTAATAACATGTGCGGAAAAGATGCACGAACAGGTGTGCCAAAAACTAAAGATATCTGCGAAAAACCGCAAGGGGGGTGTTCAAACACCCCCCGGCCCTGCGCGGGTTAAAAACTCGCATTGGGCGGATGAAGTTTCCCAGGTATTGGCTCCAAAACAACGTATTCGGCTCCCGAATACGTCTAAGTGATCCGCGTCGTTCCTAGTTAAGCTCTAATTAGATCAAGTGACTCATAGGGAGCGAAAAAGCGACAAAAAACATGAATTTCCCTATGGCGGCGGGCTGCCGGGTTGCGAGACGGCACACCGGCATTTCCACTTTTGACACACCATGAACATGAATCTTATGTAGGTCATGTAGCAACATGTAGGTAGCTTATAGGTTAGTGAACGTTGTGTTTGATGTTTTAAGCTTTGAGCTTTAATTTCAGCGAACCAACCCAATAGTCCATTTTATAAACAATATGATTGGCAGAGTGGTTTACTCTTATTTATAGGACTTACCTACCTAGTTATGCCTATACCTTTTTGATCTTTTGTTGCGAGAGCCTGCTGCAGAAAACCAAAACTACATCGATTAAATACATTTGACATTTCAGTTAGGCATGTTGAGTGTCACTGTAACATTACGCTCCAGTCAAGCGTTCCGTTGACTAATTTGAGCTCTTCCTACCTTCCTAATGGCATACAGACGGGTTTTGCCTATCCAGTAGCATCACATGTTAAATGCAAATGTTTTCTAAAGTTTTTTTTTTCGCATTTAGAAAGCAGTGAGGACTTAAACTTACCATCTTTATCCGGCGTCCTATTCAGCTGAATGCATTAAACCTACCCAGCGAAAGCTGTTGATGACATTTAAACTCTGATGCCCTTTAAACACTGAGACTGCCTGTCCTTACGTCAGCCCGGTCAGGTAGGTAACACTGTAATCAAGAAGCGACCACTTCAAAATGCAGCTCAGTGCAGTCATTTGCTGTAATTGCCGACCCAATTATGCTGTTTTAAATTGCTGACGGGTTCGAGTCGTAATAAATCGTCATAAAAGAGACTGTCCCAATGGAAAGATGGCCGTCATGAGTAATCTTAAGCCGACCTAACTCTGCTCGAAAATGTATTGTGCAGCACAATACATAGGCGGCGGAACGAGGGGGCACCGTGGCACCGTGCCCCCTTTGATTTTGGCATTTTAACATTAGCCCTATGGGCGTTGCATGGAAAGAATGGGACCAAAAGTCGGCAGTGCCCCCCCCCCTTAATTCAAGATGTTCCGCCGCCACTGATTGTGCTATCCACTTTTCTTCAGCTAGACTTAACTTCTAGATTACATGTTCACTGCATGTGCTATGGCCTGCACGCTGCATTGGCCGGTGGCTCAATCGGAGCATGTGGCCAAGCTTTTGTGCCTGGGCTCGTGGGTTTATAGTGATATGCCGGTAAGTGCCGCTCAAATGGGCGTCACAAATTTTGACCAAAGCAACTTTCAAGCGCCATTGGTCGTTTGGGTCTAGGCATCTGCGGCGGCATCGTCGTCATCATCTGGTTAGGATATAGCAACGAAATAGCTGATAGCTAATAGCTAATATGCGTAGCAGTATGATAAGCCAACTGCTTGTGTAATTGTAGAAGCTAAATAAAAGCTAGAAGCAGATTTGAAGGGGTTGAAAACCCTCTGACCGATGAAATTTGGGTGCGTTACACCCATTTGCGTCAAAATATAGCCTAATTTCATTGGCAATTTCCTATACCTAATACCTATAAGGCCAAGGGTCCTAATTTCTTCTATTAATTTTATAGCACCTGGCCAATCTAGCACTTCTGGCAGCACCATCATTTCATGAAAATGTCATAGGTATAGAAACACTGATAGGTATTCGAAAAAAAGTTCATTCACTTCACACGCAAGCAAAGCTTGAGTTTATTATCCATAAAATCATAACTATCACACACCACTCTAAATAACATCACAGACTGCCAAAAATCGAAGTTCTGTCGTTTACTTTTGCCTGAAGCTCAAGACCGAGCTTTTAAAATGCTTAGGATGCATGATTTAGTACCTGGCAAGTGCCCATAAGGTATAATTTAACCCGCGCCGGGCCGGTGCTCTGAGATTCCGCGCCGGGCCGGGGGGGGGGGGTCTGGACACCCCCCTTCTAACTCGGCTCCTGGGCCACGTAGCGACACGCGGTAAGCGGCAATCGAAAGAACGTCCAAAATAAGGACGAAAACACTTGGTCATTTTTTGGGTCAGGTCACAGGTCAGGTCACCAGAGGTCACCAAAGGTAAAATGTTGACTATTTCAACATTTTGGAAACTGCCAACAGCTATCTTGGGAACCGATGGAGCTACAGCGCCGCGGAAAAGCGCATTCGATAGCCCTTTTACAGACCTTTCTGAGTAATGTTCTCAGATTTGACCTCAGGTCAACGGTTTAGCCTCAAGAGGGCAAAAACTAAAAAATAGCCGTTTTTACGAAAAGCGTTTTTTCGGCAATAACTTTTGACTCAAACGAGCCATGACATTACTTTTGCCAGCAACGTGTTCCTCTCGTCGAGACGCGTCGAATGAACTATAATTTGACCTTGAAAGGTCAACTTGAAAATTTGACCTCAGGTCAAGGTCATGACCTGACCGGAAAAGGTCATGTTGCATATCAGTCGATCCGCAACGTCGAGCCAAACACATCTAAGACGTTTTCAGCGCTCTAGCACGCCTCTATCATAAGTTCTTAGCGAAAAACTGCTAGATTCTGTTCGTGACCTGAGATGACCTCGGGGACATAACGAGGGGCCACAGTTGCCATTTTCCGGCTCAGTGTGTCAATTTTACCTACATCTCGATGTTTGAGAGTGTCTAGAATAGCGTTCGTGCAAAACAGACGCTTTTCAATTTTCTACCATTGACTTATAATGGAGAGACCGCAAAATTGACCTGACCTTAGGTCACCGATATCAAAATTCCGAGATATAAGTTTTATAGATAATGTTACTCTTATCAATCGCTAAAAGTTTCAAGGCAATCGATCAATCGGTGTAGCTATGACGAGCATTCTTATTTTTTTCTAAAGTGAGGTCACTTGGCGTGACCTGGTGACCTGACCTAAGGCGACCTGGGTCTGAAATTTTCAGAACATGTGCGGAAAAGATGCACAAACAGGTGTGCCTAAAACGACAGCGCTCCGCGCCGCCGTTTTTGAGATATCTGCGAAGAGCCGCAGGGGGGGGGGTGTTCAAACACCCCCCCCCCCCGGCCCGGCGCGGGTTAAGGAAAGTGACAGTAACCAGACACCAACACTCGTGTTCAACGCATAACGAATGCGCATAAGATTGAATGGAGGTACAGCGCTCGACTCACTGCGTGGTAGCCTGGTAGGTGTTCTTTTTCTCGACAAAACCGATTATAACTCTAGGGCTATGCTGGTCATTCCTCACCGTTCGACACGACCGGGATCAAGGCCAGCGGGATCGTCCCATGGAAAATCGAGCTGCTCTTGATGGTACAGGCTAGCCAGATCACCGCCTGGTCTCAGACTACCGCAGAAGATACAGAGCTTCGTCGTAGGTTAGGTTCGGGAGAGAGGGCGTGTCCGAACTCCCACTGTAGAGCCGGGCGAAGAAGGAGATGTGGATGTGGAGGATGGAAACGCTGCTGAAGTGGTTGTGGAAGAGGATGAAGTCGAGTGTGGAAGAGGATGAAGTCGAGGAAACGGTGGTGGAGAGTGTGGAAGAAGGAGATGTCGAAGGATAAGTCGGAGGCAAAGTCGGAGACGAAGGAAAATGTTGTCAAGGTTGTAGACAATGTCGTTGAAGACATTGCGGACAAAGATGTGGTGGTTGATGATGTCAACCACTGCATGCCGTGCCAGAGAGTTAAAGTTTAAAAAGTTTAGTTAAAGATGCCGCCAGAGAGGAGGTCTCAGACGAAAACGTGGTTCCCAAAAAAGTCCTCAAGGTGGTCGTGGCAGACGATGAAGACAGCGAAGAAGAGCCCCCACTCTGCGTGGTGGCAGAAGAAGGTGGTATCTCCGAGTCGCTGGTTCCAGTCGTGTTCCAGCAGTGTTCTCAGTCGTTCCAGTGTAGTTCTCAGAGTGTTCTCAGTTGCTTCACTCGTGTTTCAGCAGTGTTCTCAGTGGTCACATCAGTGGATCCTGTGACGTCCTCAGTAGCGCTGTGCGGCGTTGTGGATGATCCTCTGACGTCATCAGTAGCACTGTGCGGCGTTGTGGATGATCCTCTGACGTCATCAGTAGCACTGTGCGGCGTTGTGGATGATCCTGTGACGTCATCAGTAGCATTGTGCGGCGTTGTGGATGATCCAACAGCCTCACTTGTGCCCGCAGAAGATGTCGCTGGCGAATCGGTCGATGGTGTAGCTGTCAGCACCTCAGCTCCAGCTCCATTTGTCGCTGTCGTTACAACAGTTTCTGTTGCTTCATTTTCAACCACCTCTTCTCCTGCAGTTTCTTCATTGTCAACGTTCTGCACACGTTGATAAATCTTAACTTGTTGGTCATCCTGCGACCCATCTTGGTCATCCCCAAACATCAGACATGCGTTCTCCCAGCGAAAAGACAGACAGGAGGGGGTTTGGACGCAGAGAATAGCACATGTAGTGACAGAGGTAGCTGGTGAACTCACCAGTACAGTCGGAGGTAGTGGCGCCGTAGAGGACTGGAAACGCTCCTCAGCAACCGTCCCTGGGACGATCAGCATGGTGGACAGCATGACGACCAGCATGGTGACTAGCAGGAAGGTCAACTGCAAGCGTAGCTGGGAGTTTCGTATGGTAGCTAGGCGACCGGAAGGGACCGGTAAGATACGCATGGTGGATGTCTCAGAAGTTCTAGCCGCTTACTGAAGGCTGCGTATTATGTTCAACGGTTTGCTGTGGATCTTGTCTTTGGTCCAACTGTTGATTGAGGACTACGTTCAAGCTCCAAATAGAGATGACGACTGTGGACCGAAGCGTTGATCTGTTAACTGTGAACCACGTCTGTGGTCCGAGTCTCGACTGTGGACCACAGTGGACCGACTGTGAACCACAGCGGAGCCCGTCTGAGGCACAACTACCGACTGAGACATCGTCAGCCGCTTTTAGCAAGACGGGTTAGGGTTAGTAGCTGCCCGGCAGCATGAAGTCGCTTTCAAAGTCTGAACTTGTTAGCCTGACTGTAATTACTGTATTGAACCTGAAGCCTGTTATTATGCGCTATCGGGTACCAAGCTCAGGCAGCCTGACTGATGCGCTCATTTCAAGGGAACCTTTTGGTGGACTCTCATTGAAGCTCTGTCTTTCAAGATGATAGATTAGTTTTATTAATATCTTCTAAGGAACGGCTGAATGGTAGGTACCCAGGTGAATACATTTGTCGCCACGATGTCCTCTGGTTTACATGCACTGACGACACTCGTGTTTTGAGACTGGCTGAGGGGGATTAGGAGGTCGAAATTGGGATAGGATTGGTGAGGAAGGCGACAGTCGCTGCCTGATCAAGGCTCCTCAGTGGCGAGGGCGCCGTGAGCAGACAGATCTACCGATACTTCGACGCCTCGATAGCGAGGTTGGCCGAAGCCGACTGGCCGCGCCCCTTGTATGGAAAGAGGCCCCTTTCCCCGGTCTCGATGGCGAAACGCGGGAAAAGAGTTAAGCCCTCGGTTTTCGCTGGCGAAACACCGGTGGCCGCCCCCTCACACACCCCAACGAGGTGAGAAAAGCCGAGGTCCCCGGAAGTAGGACGGGTCACAGTAACACGCTTTTGTGGCCTGCCGTCAGTCCTCGCACTTCCGTCACTTCCGTCTCTCACTTCTCTTACAGCCACTGAGTTCAACCACTGGATATTTATTGTCACTTCTCACAATTCACTCCAGAATCCAGCTTCACTCCGTACCCCCAACAGACCACGTTACACGCACACATAGACTGAACCCGCCTACGACTCACCCGCCCGAGATCAGCTCGCTGGTGCCCCGCGGCGCGGGACACCGGCGACCAATCAGCGCGCTCCCCGCGCATGACCTCACCAGGTCAGACACGCCTCGGGCGCCACGTGGCCGCAGCGGCCGGCTCGGCAGCCGCGCGGGCCGGCCGGCGACTCGGCGGGTACCGCTCAGCAGCGGTCGGTGACAACATCCTCCCCCACCGTGTTGCACGAAAGAACAACACACAAACCCATGCACCGACGCGCTGCACAATTGTTGAACATCCAACAACACGTCTTTAGACCGCGAATACCTCCGCGACAAAAATGAGTTTCACCGCTGAGAAACCTAAGCAAAACCAACGTTAGGGCAACAGAAATAAACCATTCTCCCCCACCGTCAGGGCCAATGACACGACTCGGTCATAGCCACGTTTGTTGCCATGCGCGCTCTGTACGTTACTGATCACCCACACGGTGACCTTCACACCCCACGTCCACGTGACCGTTGCTGATCCCCAGCCCCTCGAAATGGCGAGGCCACTGGGAATCAGCAGAATATCTGATAGTTCGCCTCCTCGATGGCGAGGTTGATCTTGCGTGTTGCAAGATTCCGGCTTCCGTTTACGTGCAGTCCTCCTCGAGGAAACATATCTTTGCGGTTGGCCGAGTGTAGACCTTCCCGCCGGATGTCCTCAGCTCCGCCGATCTCACTCTTCCGTCCCTACCTGGGAAAACCCGAACGATCCGCGCCAGGGGCCATGAGCCTCTGGTGAGGTTCGACTCTGCCATGAGTACGAGATCACCGACCCGCAGATTCCTCGTTTCTTGACGCCACTTGCTGCGACTTGTTAGGCTCGGTAGGTACTCTCGGGTCCACCGCTTCCATACGTGCTCCGCTAGCGCCTGTGACTGTCTCCATCGGCGACGGCTGGAGATCTCACCCTCTCTTGTCAGTGCCGGGGCGAGATGAGGTGAAGCGCAGCCCAGCAGGAAGTGATTGGGCGTTAGAGCCTCAGAGTCAGCCGGATCCGAGCTCACGTAGGTGAGCGGTCTGCTATTGACCATATGCTCTACCTCGGCGAACACGGTCAGCAGGACCTCATCGGTCAGCAGCTGCGAACCGACCACGGCCTGCAGGCATGTCTTGACGGATCTCACCATTCGCTCCCAGACACCGCCCATGTGGCTAGCCGCTGGCGGGTTGAACCGCCAGTCGATCTCGAACGCGCTCATTCTCTCTGGCATGGCTGCTGATAGAGCCTGGAGCTCCTGGCGAAGCTCCCGGTCGCTACCGATGAAGTTCGTGCCGCGATCCGAGAAGATGACCGCCGGCTGCGACCTGCGTGCGAAGAAGCGCCTCAGAGCCATGATGCAGCTGTCGATGTCGAGAGCGTGCGCCACTTCCAAGTGCACAGCTCGAGTGGCCATGCATGTCACTAGCAGGCCATACCGTTTCTCCGTCTTACGGAATCGCTTCACCAGCAACGATCCGAAGAAGTCTATGCCAGCGTTCTTGAACGGCCGACCAGCTTCTAGTCGCTGGCTCGGGAGGTCACCCATCCGCGGCGGCGTTGGTGCTGTCCTGCGTCGATGGCAGAAAGAACAGTCCTTGAGCTGCTTCTTCACTGCGGCGCGTCCCTGTGGCATCCAATACCTTTGTCGAACTTCATTTAGGGTGTGCTCCACCCCGGCATGGCCGTTCCTTACATGTTCGTGGCTGATCACGAGTCGAGCGAGCTCGCTCTTCCGTGGAAGGATGACTGGATGTCTCGCGTCTTCTCGCGTGGCAGCCCTGTCGATGCGCCCTCCCACTCGGATCAGATCGTTGACGTCAAGGATCGGGGTCAGCGGCAGCAGCGTGCTTGAAGATGGCAGTGGCCGTCCTTGTTCCAGACATTTGCGCTCTGCTCCGTAGGTTGAAACCTGTTCCCGCTTCACGAGCCAGATCTCCGCTTCCTTCACTTCTGCACTTGATAGGGGTCCGCTGACTTTTGCCAACTGTCCAGGCAAGCATGCCTTCGCGTTTCTTGCAAAGCGTTTCATCCAGGCGGCCACCCTCCTGCACTTGAGCCAGGATGAGAACCTGGCTGGGTCTGGTTCTGCTGGGACTGACTCCGTGGTCGAGCTGGCGAACACACTGCGCATCTCCTCTTCCTCGTCGCACGACAGCGGTGCTGGCTCCTCCTGAGGTGGCCACTGTTCAGCGTCACCTCGCAGGAAGTCCGGTCCCGCAAGCCATCGGCAGTCGTGGGTGAGTGCGAGCACCGAGAGTCCTCTTGTACAGTCATCTGCTGGGTTGAGCCGTCCAGGCACATGTCGCCAGCGTGCATCTCGCGTGAGCTCATGGATTTCTGCTAGCCTGTTCGACACGAACGTCTTGAATCTTCGGGTCTCGTTTGAGATGTACTGCTGTATGACCCGGCTGTCTGTCCAGCAGATCACATCATCAGGTCGATGTGTCAGCTCCGCGAGGACCGCAGCGACCAGGCGCGCACCGAGGACTGCTCCCTGCAGCTCGAGTCTGACAATCGACAGACGTCTCAGCGGTGCCACCCGACACTTGCCCATCAAGAAATGGCAGAAGTGCGATCCGCTGCTCGAAGTCGTCCTTAGGTAGGCCACCGCGCCGAACGCGTCCTCTGAGGCGTCGCAGAACATGTGCAGCTCACTTCGCACCGTCTCCAATCCTGCCGGCAGCACACAGCGCTGAACGGCTACCGCATCGAGCTTCTCTGCCTCCTTCAACCACTTGCTCCACTCACTAGACTGCAGCTCTGGCAGATCGTCGTCCCACTCCAAGTGAAGAAGCCACAGGCGTTGCATCATCACTTTCGCCCTTATCGTGAACGGAGCAGCGATCCCAAGAGGGTCAAACACAGACGACACCTTGCAGAGGACGGCACGTTTGGTCGCCTTGACTTCCTGCCTCCTGAGACGGAATCCCAGCGTGTCCTTCGTCTCGTCCCAGACGATACCGAGAGCTTTCTCGGCTGTTGGTGATCCTGTCAGACATAAACTCGAGGAAACACTGGCTTGGTCTCCTTCTGGGATCTTCCGAAGTACGACAGGTGAATTGCTGCGCCACTTGGTGAGATGAAAGCCTCCCTTCGACAGAGCTTCAGACACCTCAGTGAGCAGCTGTTGGGCAGTGCTCTCAGTCGGAGCTGAGAGCAGACAGTCATCCATGTAGAAGCTCCGAGCCTTCTCTTCTGCACTCAGGATGGCACGAGTCTTCGTCTCGGCTTCGTAGTCGATGAGTGCCCGTCTCAGCACGTAGTTGGCGATGGCAGGGGATGACTTGGCGCCGAAAATTACGACCAGCATCTGGTACACGTCGGGTTTTCGGCATCCTTCCAGAGCTCGCCAGAGGAAGCTGGATGCTGGTTGGTCTTCTTCCCGGATTCGTACTTGGTGGTACATCTGCTTGATATCAGCAGTGACCGCGATGAGACCCTCCCTGAATCGCAGGAGTACGCCAGGAAGGTTCTGCAGCAGATCCGGGCCTGTGACGAGCTTGTCGTTGAGAGACGTGCCTCTGTGCTTTGCAGCCGCGTCGAAGACGACTCGAACTTTACCCGGCTTATTCGGGTTGACGACTGCGTGGTGTGGAAGGAGCCAACGCTTCTCTTTCTGCTCTCGTACCTCGTCTGGCAACAGCTTTCTTGCATGACCATCAGCGACATAGCCTTCGATGATAGCTTTGTATTTTGTTGCCAGTTCCGGTTGCCTTTTCAACTTCCTTTCGGTGCTCTCCAGTCGATCATACGCTTGCTTCCAGTTGCTTGGAAACACGGGTTCCTCTTCACCCCACAGCAGCCCGGTCTCGTATCTGTCTCCCACCTTTCTCGTGTGCTGATCCAGGAGGCTGAGAGCTCGAATGTCCTCTTGTGACCTGGCGTCTGGAACGTTGACTTTTGTGCCGAAGGCTTCCGTCGTCCACCATTCCTCGATACGCTCCTTCAGATCTTCATCGCCGGAAGCCGGCCGTCGCACAAACATGACTTGGCGCATAGTGCTGGGTATCAGTGACGCTATGGAGCCCGAGAGTGTCCATCCAAAATCTGTTCTCACCGCCACCGGCTGTCCGGGGCGTCCAACTCGTGCCTCATGTTGCAGCACAGCTTCCAGGATGTTGGCTCCAAGAAGTAGCTCAACTCTTGCACCACTGTACTGCCGGAGATCCAAGTCATGCACGTGCTTCCAGCTACGGACATGATGACTACCGATGCTCGGCGCAGCCACGTTGAGCTTCGGCACGGACCATACTTCTGGTACTTTGATGCGCTCTTTCTTGGCGTCTGCCCCAAGAGGACTGACTGTCAGCTCGACACGAACTGATGATTGTCGCGGGCCACTTCCTTCGATGTTCTGCAGGCGCAGGTCTTCTCGTCTCCCGTGCACTCCGACCTCCTTCAGCACATCTTCACAGCAGAGAGACGTCTGGGCTCCCGGATCCAACAGCGCCACCACATCCCTGTCTCCCTTTGGACCGTGGATTCGGACAGGTACGAGTTGCAACAGCGTGTCTGTGGCCTCTGTCAAGGCCACGCCAACAATGGGGCTTCCATTTGTAGCTTCACGTTCTGGTTCAACTCGGTTTCCTCTGCTGGCTGAAGTACTTCTGTTTGTGTGGAGAAGTCTGTGGTGCGTTGCGTTGCAGCCGTTCAATCCGCAGCGTCTTGCAGATCTGCAGGACCTCATGAAGTGTCCTTTGTTGAGGCATCCCCAACAGAGCCGCTCTTTGCTCACCACCGTTGACTTCTCTTCGTGAGTCTTGGTCTTGAACTCCGGACAGTCTTGTAGTCTGTGCCCTTCCTTGCACACGACGCATGACCGGAAACCTCGGTTTTCTGTCTGAGAAGAAGATGCTGACGTAGTCAGCGTCGTCCTCTTCGACGACGTCTCTCTTGTGTGTGCAGGTGGTTTCCTCTTTTCTTGGTCACGACTTTGGGTGACAGATTGTCTCAGGATCGTCACCTCAGTCTTCAGCCATTCACTGAAGATCTCCAGATTCGGTCGGCTGGGACGTCTTCTGTGGACTTCCCGTCCCCACTGAAGAGTCAGCTCCGCTGGCAGCTTGGCAACGACTCGACGGAGGTTCTCGCTTGCTTCCAGGTCACTGTCATACCCAAGCGTACGCAGCGTCATCACGGTGTTACTTATGGCTGAGCTAAACCTCTCCATAGACGCCAGGTTGTCTATGGATGGAGCTGGAGTCGTGAACATCGTCTTGAGATACGCCTGGCTGACCTCAGCTTCTTGACCAAAGCGTTCATATAACATCGCCAACGCTTGCTGGTACATCCTGCCATCGAAGAGGAATCCCTCGATCGCTTGGTGCGCGGCTCCCTCCACCGCTTGCTGTAGATGTGTCATTCGCTCAGTATTGGAGAGAGAAGCCTGATCATGTACCAGCGCATTGAATAGGCCGATCCATCGCGGCCACTCACCGGGGTCTCCCGAGAACCGCGGCAACCCGAGGCGAGGGATGCTCTTGGCGAAGGCTGACGACCCGGATGAGTGCAACTCTCCTCGGTTTCTGAAGTCTGTCGTCCAGGTGCTAGGATTCAAAGACGTATTACCACCCGCGTCTTCCTCTCTTCCAGGCCTGCAGATACTCCCATGCACATCGGTGTCTGACCGTCGGTCACATAGTTGCTCCTCGCGGGCGAGAGGGATGGACTTTGAAGGTGATTCTTCTGCTGGTTGCTCTTGGTCCGCCTCTTGGGCTTTCTGTCGAGATTCTTGCGCTGGTATGGCACAGCCCTCCACGGGAGTTGTGGCGTTTCCACTGTCCCCCGCCTCCGCTGACCTGGACCGGCCCGGTTCCGCGGCAGAATCTTCGAAGTCATGACGGCGATCCCAGTTTAGCTCGTCTTCTGCAGCATGATAGAGACGCACTTTCCTCGCCGCCCGCTCCCGAGCCTCTTCAGCAGTCTTGATCTTCAGCGCCCTTTCACGCTCCTCCAGTTCCCATTCCTCTTGCTGCCGGCACTTCTCCAGCTCCCGTTCCTCTTGCTGCCGGCGCTTCTCCTCCTGTTGCCGGCGCTGTTCCGCCTGCATTCTGGCCATCTTGTGCTGGCGCTCCTCTTCAACCTGCGCTTTTATGTCCCGCAGTTTGCCATCCGCATCGTCCAGCTCCACTTCTGCTTCCTTTGACTTCGTCGAGACGGCTGACATCGCAGAGGTTCGTGACCTTGCTCGACTTCTGCGACTTCGGCGAGAAGCGGCGGTCGATGAGCGAGCTTCGTCTAATTGCTGTAGATACTGTTGAATCTTCCCCCGAATCGAGCACTCTTCTTCTTCTAGTCGATCTGCGTATTCCTGAGCATCCTCGATCTCTTCGTCATCAATCAGGCTCTCATACGTTTGTTGAACTTTTCTTAAGTCGGCGAAGGCTTCCTCCAGCCTGAGGTTAACCTTCTGAATACTATCGCTGCTGGCTTGCCTAGCAATCTCTTCTTCAACTGTTTTTGATATCCGAGTGACTGCTGCCCTCTTGAATCCCCGCTGACGGCGTAGGCTTGCCAGCTCCTTCTCCTTGGCAGCTCGCTGAGCTGCGTCCATGCCCGGATCCGATGGCTTCATGACATGCTCCTCCTCCTTCGCCTCCATCTGCGTCTTGTCCATTGCTACCACCGGTTTTATCCGGCCCGGAGGACCAGAAATGTCGCCACGATGTCCTCTGGTTTACATGCACTGACGACACTCGTGTTTTGAGACTGGCTGAGGGGGATTAGGAGGTCGAAATTGGGATAGGATTGGTGAGGAAGGCGACAGTCGCTGCCTGATCAAGGCTCCTCAGTGGCGAGGGCGCCGTGAGCAGACAGATCTACCGATACTTCGACGCCTCGATAGCGAGGTTGGCCGAAGCCGACTGGCCGCGCCCCTTGTATGGAAAGAGGCCCCTTTCCCCGGTCTCGATGGCGAAACGCGGGAAAAGAGTTAAGCCCTCGGTTTTCGCTGGCGAAACACCGGTGGCCGCCCCCTCACACACCCCAACGAGGTGAGAAAAGCCGAGGTCCCCGGAAGTAGGACGGGTCACAGTAACACGCTTTTGTGGCCTGCCGTCAGTCCTCGCACTTCCGTCACTTCCGTCTCTCACTTCTCTTACAGCCACTGAGTTCAACCACTGGATATTTATTGTCACTTCTCACAATTCACTCCAGAATCCAGCTTCACTCCGTACCCCCAACAGACCACGTTACACGCACACATAGACTGAACCCGCCTACGACTCACCCGCCCGAGATCAGCTCGCTGGTGCCCCGCGGCGCGGGACACCGGCGACCAATCAGCGCGCTCCCCGCGCATGACCTCACCAGGTCAGACACGCCTCGGGCGCCACGTGGCCGCAGCGGCCGGCTCGGCAGCCGCGCGGGCCGGCCGGCGACTCGGCGGGTACCGCTCAGCAGCGGTCGGTGACAACACATTTGTTTTCTCAAGAGCCTTGACCGGGTACAATTGCTGTCTATGGCATGTTTAACTGAAAGACGTGGCCATAACATATTGTGGACCATCAAAGTTTCCGGCAGACCCCTGGCGATTAATCCATCCATAAACAATTGAGCAACATGAATGCTGTGGAATCATGTTGTATTCTCACTACGTAGTCAATAGACGGTTGATTTTGAATGCAGCGTGGCATCCCGCATCACCATCTGAACATTTTGCGGCATTTAAAGAGGCAACGTGTGTTTTTATGCGCTTCTAGAGTGCCGTGCCAATTACGATTCTCTTTATTTCCGTCACCTGCTCCGTAGTCGATAGAAGATATGACTGGATAATTTGACATTCCGATGCAATCTATTTATGTTGCCGAGGCTGGGTGCTCATCCTTACTGAGGTATAGGTACCTATGTCAGATAAGATTGAGAATGAATGAGGTGGAGATTGTCTTTTGCCTGTGACACTGATCACCCGAAGTCCCCCCCCAAAAAAAACGAAAATAAAAAAGTGTACCTACCACCGAATGTTGCATCTTTTTCCAATCTCCAAAGATCACACTTCCCTCTAAGCATCTGTGTATTTTCATAGCATCGTGTCGTTATCGACCATCCCGGTGAAGTTGCGCTACATCGCCGCGTGACGGCGCCACAGTCGACATGCCAAATTGGTGCGACTTTATGTTAGCGTATAGCTGCACAATGAGCCCTTTGGCGAGGCTCTGCACACAGCCAGTAAGCATGACGACATCAGACATTTTCCGTCATCTCTAAGTCCACTGATATTTTCCCACCCCTACATTTCCCTCGCAGTGCATACCAATTACCCATAGCAGCCATCTTCCGACTGACCGTACCGCCTTTAGTTACAGACGCGCCCACGAAGAGGGCGCCAGCGGCGTTCACGGAATCGCGTTCAGTTACAAGTTTGTGACGCTTCTCACAGATGGCTCTGGCATCGCCGGCGGCTGCGGAGCCGTGATATAGATGGCGCTGCCCCGGTAAAGAGGGCGCTACTGCTCCTTGGGCCGGTAGCTTCCGTCTCCTTTTCGCTGGGCGCGTAGTGTGACCATATCCTGGGAGACGGTCTTTCTGTCATAAGCCCAGCCGATCCTGCCAAAAACATAGAACAAGTAAAACACAGAATCAATATTTAATTGCCTTTGTCATTTATGATGTCATTTACACTCTTGCCTTTTTGTGGAGGGTGTCCATTGGAGCCACAGAGTTATTTTCAACGGAAAAACAAAGCAAACAATGGCCAAGAGCGTTCAAGTACTCTTTTGTCCCTCAGTAACCAGTAGATTATCAAACTACCATATTGCTACACTAGCAAGTGAATCCTGCAGGACTGAAGAACATTCAAATTCAACAAGATAACAGCACCTTGCTTCAGGTCATTGCAGCAGACGGCAGGTGAAGCCTGAAGGTCAGGTCATCATTCTCTCAGCCCACCCCATCTCACTAACCCCCGTACGCACCACGCCATCAGGTCAATGAAGCTGGTGGTGAGATTCCTGGTCCCTCCCCCGAGCTCGGCGGTACGGTAATCCCATGGGAAACTGTGGTGGTAGTTGTGCCACCCCTCGCCCAGAGCAGCCATAGCCACCATCGGGTTCTCGGCCGGGTTGATGAACCTGGGGACAGTGACGTCATCGGTGTTAGTGACGTCATTGGGGTGACGTGTCAAGGCAAATACCACTGTTCACCGGTATGTAGGGATATAGTGGGTACTATATGCTGTAAGCGATGCTCTAAAACATCGATCAAAACTCAAAAACAATATCAGAAGCGCATCCGAGGCTAAAAGGCAAATTTGTTGGAAATAAAGCGTGACCTTGTGGCTTAGTTCAGAATAACCCACTGATACAAAGTGACTGATGATGGAATCGCTTTAGCTATTTTTACAGTTGTAATGTGTCTTTAGGAATATGATTTATTGACGTTCTTACGCGAAGATAGATGTGCGAGTCTGTTTTAAGATGATCCAAGGTAGTGACCATACTGCCTTTATTCAAAAGCTTCGTTTTCAGATAGACAAACACAGAATTTCCACTCCTTCAACGGGATTCGAACCCCCGACCTTCCACTCACCGATCATACGGCCGGCGTCCCCAAAGATGCGCCGCACTGTTCACCAGCCATGTAGAGTGCAGTGTGCAGACGTAGCGCAGAATACCACAGACGAGTAGAGCAGTCAGCGGTCGCTCGTGCCATAGAAGCACGGGCACCATCGTAGGAATCACGAAACAGAGCAGTGCAGCCAGGACGTAGTAGTGTCTGTGGAATATACGACACGACGTGTGGGGTATTTTGTAGGGTATTTTGTAGAACGTCTTCGGAAAAGTGGACTGAAAAGTACGATGTATTTTTAGAAGAGAAAATAAAGTGTTTGTACGGACTTTTAGAAAGTCATTTACGGAATGAATGAAACATCGCCGTACGGCTGGTAATCACACTATTGACGCAATTTTATTTAGAATAAATTAAAAAACAAGCGAGAACAAAGACCAATTCTAGTACCTATTATTGGAATTTTGAGTCACCTATGAAGTGCTCAGTTGTTTTCTCCTTTGGTAGGGTACATGCCCTACCGTCCAAGTCTATATGAACATCGAACGACACCCACGACTCTACCTCTTCTGGAAGACGACAACTGGATCTGCCAGCATGTCGGACATATCGGTAGATTTCTCCCTGGCCACCGATTCGGGGTGTTTGGCCACAAACAGCCAGCCTAGAGGAGGACAAACAGGGTCAGACAAACAGTATAACGGGAGTAGCGACATCAATTGGTAGGTAGTATTTCGGCATAACCGCATCAACAACGGGGTCGGGGAGTTCGCTTTTGTTCTGTCACTACAATTTTACGAAATACGTTTGTAAAAATTTTGAGTAGTACATACATAGTTATAGATTAACGAGTCTAAATGGAAACTAGGTTAAATTGGTTAATCATTCAAATTACAAAGCAAGCACGTGAAAGAAGGCAAATTGCGTGACCCAAAATCATGCTACGACAGAAAATCTGGCTCATTCTTACCAATCTTTGAAAGTTGGCTAGCGAACACAAACAAAAGCATCACCCAATGAACACCTCCACCGTCGTTGAGGTTTGACCTGAGTCGGTGACCCTGGCCGGGTCACTCCGTACCAATGTGTGCGAAGAAGAAGCCCCGGGTAGCGTTGTGCGGATCGGCGTCAGTTTCGGAGTAGCGGTGGTGCAGCCGGTGATCCTGGACCCACTCGAAAATGTGGTTCTGTCGAACAAACCCAGGGTCGCGGGTTCGAATCCCAGTCAGAGCAGGGAGATATACGGCGATTGCCATCAGTTTCATCTGAGGTACTATCAGTTTTTGTGAATGGTATGTTGTAAATGTTACATGGCTAGACTGCTCATTGTTCACTGTACGAACAGATTAATCGTGCTTTATGGAAGTCATTTCATCTTTACTCCTCTCTCTCTCTCTGCCTCTATTCCTCTTTCCTCACTCCTCTCTCCTCTTTTACTCCTCCTTCCCTAAACCCTCCATCCCTCCCCTCTCTCTCTCTCCCGTTCTCTCCCCTCTTTCCCTCTATCTCTCTCTCTTTTTTCTCTCTCTCTCTCTCTCTCTCCCTCCCTCTCTCTCTCTCTCTCTCTCTCTCTCTCTCTCTCTCTCTCTCTCTCTCTCCATCTCCCTCCCTCCCCTCTCCCTCCCTTTCTCTCCCCTTTTTTCCTCCATCTCTTCTCTCTCTCTCCCTCTCCCTCCTTCACTCCACACTCCCACATTTCCTCTCTCTTCCATCTGCACCTATCTATCTACCAATACCCTCCTTTTCTTCTCCCCTTCTACCTCTCCTCCCTCCCTGTCTCTCTCCCTCTCCCATCCTTCCTTTCCTCCATACCCCACAT